AGTACTAGCTTGTCTTCTTTTGTGAAATTGTCAGAAAATGTCAGAAATGCTTGTACACCATTTTACATGCCTAAGCTTAAAAAAAATGTACCAAAATACACAAATCAATTTCCCATCACACCAAATAGTCCAACCATTTAATTAACTCTGTGTTTTTATCTAGCATTGAATACTGGACACAGCCCGATGCACGAGAAGAGGAGATCAAGAAAGGGTTTCCTTTTTATTTCACAATTCTTTTTGGATGGGCTCCACATGCTAAGCATGTTCTGTTGTCCTTGGGATAATATGAGGCTGTTCCCTTATTCCATGCTTGTCCTGTTCTCCTTTACTACCTTCATTTGTAGAGCAAGGCCAAGAGATTTTTAACTTAAGAACCTTCTGTTCATTTGAGATGGGGTCTACAAATGGAGAGTGATTCTCCAAGCAAACATACACCGTGACTCAACCCTTTTAGTCAGTTCATTCTGAATGTGCCAACCAATCAATGATAAAAGTGGTCTACTTTCAGTCACGGCTGGCAGTCAATCCTCCAAGCTACAGGGCTCCCTTCCCTCAGTGCTCTGTCTTTTCCGAAACTTCTTTCAGCTCGGGTAACCAGTCATATCTTATTTTCTTGAGAGGGAAGCAGATTTGTCGAGTGCTTTGGGTTTTATACCCACCTCCCAACCCGACGCACCGACTTCCTTTTGAGAAATAATTACTATTCATTAAAGCTGGCTGTCAGATTTTCTGTCCCCCTCTCTTCTCTTCCCTTCTCTCCCTCCTTTCCCCTCTCCGATGTCCTTCAGCACTCTCGGTACTTGTCTTTTCTGTCAGCCTGCAGTCAGCTTATCGATTCGCACATCTCTGCTGGAGCAAAGAACGTGCGTGCCAATCTGTCCCCGCTTCTCTCCCCCCTCCAGGTTGACCTTTTTTTCATTTCTTTAAAAAAAAAAAGGAGCTTCATGAGGAGCAAATAAACCAACACGGTGCATTTGTTCAATTTGAATAGTCTTTGAAAGATGTTTTTTTGAGACTTCCTTTTTTCTTCTGCTTTGTTTAACTCTCTTTTGGTCTTCAAACAGAAACTGGAGGGAAATTGGAGACGATTTGTTTGCGCTGTAGTGCAGGGTGTATGAGTTAAGATAGTGGTTAGGTTGCCCCTCTTTTCTCGTCTTTAAAGAGTTTAACTTGCATGCTGCTCTTATAAGAATGTGATATCAATGCAAACAGGTTCATAAGGTCAAAACAAACACATACCATCAAAGTGACAAATGCAGTAATGAGACACAATCACCGCATTTCAGCTCTTTTATACATTATAGTGATTCTGAGGTAATGTGAAGCGTAAAGAGAGCTTAGTTATAATCACCAAACCATTCTTTCAATAATGTTTCCATTGGTTTCAATCAAGCTCAATAATGATATAAAGAGTATCTGACACATGTTCATTAAAGTATATTTATTTACAGACATTTTAGGGGAAAAGAATAATGTCACCTTTTTATTATTTCATATAAGAACATTTACATCCTGTTAAAACACTGAGAGAAATCTTTTGGATCAAACAATAAAAGTATAAAGGTTTTTTTCTCACCTCATGGCCAATCTGCCTTTATCAGGTATCTGCTTCGTGTACAGTAATACATTTGGAAATGCATGAATCAAAGTAATATCAGCAAAAAGAAATATATCTGCTTGACAGCATGCTGATACCTCATGGTCTTAATCAGGCATAATATCGGTTCTCATAGGAATGAGTTAGCTGGGGAATATGTATTGTTCATTCAACACTTTGGTTCTGGACATGGCTGCCTATTTTTAGAGGCATTTATCTATATCTCTGACAATGCACAGAGGTTGAAAAGCATTTTGAAAACGTGACCCCGTTGTCGGCAAATTTTGACCCCACTGAAGTGTGGCATGTTTATTATTTATGTCACTGTTGTTTGTACAGCCATGCCAAAGTTATGCAGGGTAGAAAATGAAAAATATCAAGTGTATAGATGGGCCCCGCAGAGCAACAATTCAACGAAGATGCAACTGCAGTCCTATAAAGCCCCAGCCGGTATTTTCTCCACCTAGGAGGGCGGTTTCTCATTCTTCAGCACCAGAAACCTTTAAATGACAGGAGCATCAAATGACTGCACTCTCCATAGCATACTAACATCTGTGTCTACTATGCTTTCTGTTGGTACACCCAGGCCTAGTTGTAGGGTTATTTGACTTTTCAGTTTTCTCAGTTATCCAGACAACTTAAGCTAAAGGTCAAGAGTGTCTAATAGAAGAAGAGGTCAGGGACGTTCCTACTGGACAGTGCTCATTTTGCTCAAGTTATCTAGTTCACTGAGAAATTCCAGCTTTGTTAAGTTGGAATGGTAGAGAGGCACCAGAGATACTTTTTCAGTGAGTCAGTGACCAAACTGAGTGAAAATTGATGCTATAGAATAGAGCCAACTACCATATGTCTTTCAAGTTAGTGGTAATTTAAAACCACCAAGTATTGGACAGTTTTTTAAAAGCTGTAAAGCAGCCCAAAGCCAGAATCCAACATGGTTTGGATTTTCAGCTCACTGAAGGCTGAAAAAAGACAGCATTCCAGCATCACTACAGCATGTTGCCTAAAGCTTATGCAACTATTTCATTTCTTGTGGGGTAGAAGTACACCAGTCTACACTGTCTGGATCCAGCTTGTAGCTTTACTGCAACGCAATGCTCAAATTCGACACAAACAGTCCGCAGGGTGGCTTGTTCAACTAGCACATATGTACTTGCTAAACATCAAGGTTGTGAATTCATTTTGGAAAATTGAACGCTACTACAAACGCTAAATATGTCCTGTTTCAGGCCTATATGCGCACGTGTTACAGTTACAAACCGGCAACCTAAACCTACAAAGTGGCTGCTCTCTTTAAACAATGTCCAACAGCGGTGAGTCCTAAATCAAATTCCCTAATAGCTTTCAAGTGAAGGACATTGTTGAAATGCGGGCTATTTTCTGGCCGTATCTTCTTGGACTCCTCAGAGATCCCAGATGGCAACAACCTCAGTGTAACTCTTTGATAAAATGGCTGCCTTTTGGCAGCCCGTCCGTTAAGAACTAGGTCAAACTTGGGAGTAGTATTGATGTAAAAACTTCTTAGTGACCAATATTGAATTTTATTTTTCACTGTGGACACTACAGTGTGGGAGGTCCACTCTCATAACCTAAATATTTACTTCTAACATGGTAATGGAAATTGGTATTTAAACTTTTTCAGTGATTGTAAGAAACAGACAACTGTTTAAAATGGATAGTTGTTAAACTCAGTATGGGAAAGTAGGTCATACATGAAGTCTGGAAACATGGTCTGGAGTGTCTGGAGAGGCCAATAAAGAATAAACCAGGACAGACCAACTATTGATGAAAATATTAGATTCCATTACAAAAAGAACTGTCTACAGGAGCATTATTAAAGGACAATTGTTTCTAAAGGATTTTAGATCGGTTTTTGTTTTAATAGCCAATTATAAACCTGACTTCAGACCATGTTTTAGAGCATTTCCTTATTCGTCTGTGCAGTTAATGCCATTTTACATGTAATTTTTTTTTACTGCATTTAAGGCAGTCATTTAGCTATATTCTGTTATGTACAGAGCTGGCTTAATTACGCAGGATATGTTCCTCAGGAAGGAGGGTACATACAGAATCTAAATCTGGCCCAATTTCATATTTCATAAATCCACTGCCGAAATGCACTCATACCCTTGGTAATACAACCTTCATAAATCATCGAACGTAGGAATATTTACCGTGTTTATTCCTCCTCTGGAGAGCGGCTATAGTTTACACAAAGGCCCCCATGATGGATTGGCCTTTCCCGTGCATCTCAATGATTAGTCGAAGGACGAGTGCTGATTCCAAAGTGACGTAAAGATAAACAATCCATGTTTACAAAATCCATCCTACATGTTTTGCCTTTTTTTTTCTCCAGCCCAGCAAGCAGGCTATGTTTTGACAGACTGAGAGATCCCACTAGCCTTTTTGACAACCTCATAAATTGTTTCTTCACCTTGTAAATGTTGCCCTTTCTATGTCAAGAACGTTCATCTTATCTGAGCATAAAACTGGTAATTTCGGACATGGGTTTGCAATCTGCTCTGACACTCTCTCAGGTTTTCAGCAGCTAAAAGACGAATATCCATAAGTGCTGTGTTTGGGCAAAATCAAACTAATTATTTTCTTTCTGTTGAGAAATGACAAAACTTATACATGATTTGCAGATGGGTGTTGTGTCTGCAGATTTACACTGGCTGATGATATTCTTTCACATGAACAATATTCAGTCCACTGCTGTTTTGTATGTTTGCGTTATGGATGAGATGGGACATGAATTAAAATGCAAAATGACTATAAAGATTCACTGAAGAGCTTTAAGCTGTGTTACTGAATGCCAGCTGATAACTGATTGGACAACTGCTTTGCGTTTTACAATTACTAGAACTCAAACGAGTCACTGTAGGAAAAATGGATTAATATATGAGCGAACATGGTCATATTAAAGGAGGTCTTCAAATGGAGCTTCTTGTATTTGTACAGAGCAGACACACCATGTATTCCTCACAGAGTAAGTCAATTATAAATTGGAATCTTACAGATTAGTAGTTACTGTGAAATCAGAGCTAAAAAGAAAAAAATAGAACTGGTGCAAAAGCAGTAAAAAGGTTTGAGAGAGAGAGAGTAACAAGCCGAAAGTGTGCTTTGATATCCGAACATAGACTCCACGGTATAAGGCAATAGATACTTGATTTTTTTTTACTTTTTTTCGTGTAAGAAATGTTTTTGGTCTTTGCACTTTTCAAAAAGTACAAATTCAGAAGAATGTTGAACCAGTTATATTCAAGAAGCAATGTGCAGCTTTCACATCCTGAATGAGGATCAATGATGGAGCAATATTTACAAAGCTGCCCACAAACCTTCATAAAACAATGCTTTATGATATCTTAGGATCAACATCTCAAAACCCAACAAACATTAAAAACAGACATTTTGCCATTCGGTTTGCCTTTACGTTTGTTTACCTTTTGGTTTAGCCATATCTCTGAATACAAAGATTCCGCTAAGAGGATCTCAATCCAGTGTTAAATACAGATATACAGCTTTCCATATAGTTAAGATAAAATAGAAAAGCAAGGTAAACCTCTGAATTGATTATCACTGTATGACCATTAATTTTGCCACAAATTAATCCAAATGGAGAATATCTTTTCCATACCCCTTTTCAAGTTTAACAATGACATCACCAAAGAATACCCACATTTTCAGAATATAAGAAAGAGCAGACAAGTCCTGCTTTTGTGTTATGTTGCAGAAAAGACTGGGAGGCAGTTCTGTCTGTCTGTCTGTCTCTCTCTCTCTCTCTCTCTCTTTCTCTCTTGTCAAGCTTCTTTCAGAAGTGTAGCTTGATTTGGTCCATGTTAAATTCAGTTAGCATTTAGATAAATACATGCTCTGTGCTCCCTCGTCAGTCACGGCTTCCTATTTGTTCAGTTTGCTGCCCAAGAGTGGCAGGCTCTGAAAAGCTAACAAGCCCACCCACACAAAATAACGTATACACATATTCCCAAAATAATCCTGTGCCTCTGTTCCTCTCTCTCATTCACATTCATAAACACACCCGCTCTAGCAAGGGAAAATTAGCCGAGCTAGCTGCACAGCTGGCCGAGTTCAGGCTCTGAGGAATTGGGCAGCTTGGCACTGAAGCTTTGCAGTGAGTCCCGGACGCGGGCCACCTCGCCGGCAGACAACTTGAGCCGGTGCCTGAGCAGGCAGGAGAAGAGGTCCAGTGGCTGGGTGGCAGGCGGTGAGAGGCGGTTTATGCGGTCACGCATCTCCAGCAGCATAAGGAACGTGGCATCTTGTGAACCCTGTGCGTACGGGTAGTCCAGCTGCAGGATCAGGTCCTTGATACCCTCTGCATCAAAGTGCATGCTGTAGCCAAACACCTTCAGGCTGTTGATCTTCATGTAACCCAGGTTGGCCGAGCGGTCATCTGGGTCCAGTGGCTCATAGAAGAGCGTCTCGTTGATGGCTGGGTCATCTGTGACGATGCGGCTGCGTAGGTAGATGTGCACCGTTTCAAAGAAGGACTTCCACTTGCTTCCCAGTGTTAGAGTCCAGTTGTAGCATGGCAGGGACGAGTCCAGCCTGGTTCTTTCCCAGTCGGGGAAGTCCTGCTGGTTGACTGGCATGAACCAGCTCTCCGAGTGGCTGCCCCCAAAGGGGTTGACATATATGGCAGGCACGGGTTCCAGTGTGCTGTTCTTGGTTGAACAGATCTGGAAGGAGATCCCCATCAGCATGTGGATGAGGTTGGACTTGTTCTTGTTGCTCTTGAGCGTCAGCAGCATGCGTTTGCGCCACGCTGGGTTGAACCAGCTGCCCAGACGCACATCATTGCTGATGTAGATGGCGTGCACCTCCATGCGGCTATCCAGCCGGCGCAGGAGGTGGCGCGCCTCCGCATCTGGCATATCCAGATCGAAGTTCACGTAGTGGTCCAAGGAGTTGGCGATGTTGGGCCGACAGAATCCCATGTGAAGGACGCTGCCGGGCAGGCACATCCCACAGCGAGTGATGTTGTCTGGGGCACAGGATGAGCACAGGGTGCCCTCGCCCAATAGGCATGGGATGGTCCCCTGGCAGGCGCCGCTCTGCTCAGAGGTGCACACACAACCCTGCACCTCCTCTGAGAAGGAGCCCAGGACTCCATGCTCGTTGCAGTATAGCAGGGACTGCACTCGGTTTAGCCAGAAACCCAGCGTCCTGTAGGACAATCATTAGCATAGACAGTTAGTAACTGCATAACACTGGGCTGGGATTTGCTTAACATTAGTGGTATTGCTGTGATTCTGCTGTACTATTTAAATGCATGCAGGTAGTTATAAAATTACAGTACAGTACATAATGAACATTTACATTCTGTATGAGTCTGGACTTCTGACCTTTCCAACGTCAAGAAATGACAAAAACATGGCAAACATGTTTTTCTGTCTTGAGCGCAAGACTGTATATGCAATAATGACTTTTCTTCAATTTTGAAATGATTCCTCTCTACTTATGAACACATGCAGTTTAAAGTTTAAAATCAACATTTTCAACTTCTCCACTTCAATGTTTTAATATGCTATAAGTGAGAAATAATATAAAATATCTCTATGCTTTTGTTATCATTAATCTAAGGGTTATTAGTAAACCATGCAAAAAAATCAACAATAGGCCTTCGGTGACATGAAAAATCACTCAGCTAACATCTCTTAGAAAGCTTGGTTGGGACTTGACATTTGCCTTATTTTTGTTTTACTAAATAAGGCAATCATTTCTCACGTTCATCTACTGATAAGAATTTTACTCAAGGGTAGGAGAGTTGCCCTTTGACAAAAGGCGACCGTGCTGAACCAAGAAAAAAGAAAAGATGTGAAATAGGCAGCATTTTATTTTCATTTACCATCATCCAATTTAGCGAGTTGCAAGTCGGTTTGATAAATGCATTTGGCTTGGCACGCTCAGCTATTACCATACCACTTACTTCACTGGAGCTGAGGTATACCGAGAGGCACATGCTCATAAATTAAACCCCTCTCTGTGTACAACCTCCGCTTGTCCCTGCTTTATCCCCCAGGGGCGCCTTTTTCCTAAGGTAATTCCCATCGCTTGGATTGCTGAATGCCTTACATTAGTTGTACAGGCCTGCTAATGTAACACACTTTGCACGACCATGAAAGCCTTTGATATCTATTCAAACAATCCGGCATTATGTAACACCACTTCAGTGCTCATATTATCATGTACAGTCAGAGCGATTTTCCAAGGGTTTGTCTTTATACTGATTGCATGAATCCACTGGATTAATTCATTCTTCATGTCCTTTGCTATATACTGGCTTTCATGCTTGACTAATGCTTGACACACTGTCTGACAAAGAGATCAGAAGCTTTGTCTGAGCACCTGCAGTACTGTGCAAAAATTGTATTTAAAGATATTTATCAATGTGTTTTTTTTTTTGCTCTGAAAACATGAACATAGATTAAATGCAAATAAACATTCAGATAGTGATTTATGTTTGTTAGTGTATTACCTTGACCATTTACAAACTTCTCTTTGCCCAGTAATTACTGTCCAGTTACCCTTCAGTACCTGGTTTGGATAGTCAATGCTTCAGTTAAATTAAATCATGTGTGCTGGTAAGGAAATTTAATGAATCCAACCATGTCTGGAGCTGCAGTGAGGAGAAATGAACCCATTCTCTCTGTTGTTCTAACCATCTCACAATATATCAAAAAGATCGATGAAAAATAAGACAGTCTTGTTTTTTACTGTATTAATGTTTAGTTACATTTTTTTTTGTATATGCCAGAGTATAGCAATCAGACAAGCAACAGACAACAACTATGAACAGACTAATTTTTGCAGTTGTCCTTTGAATGTTCAGAAAAAGCACCAAGTAAAATGAACCAGTGTGAATAGAAAAAAAACACACTTTCAACACATGTGGCACACTAACCAGAAGGTTTTTGTTTGTGTTTGTTCATGTTTGTCTGCTCAGCGTACTCTGGCCTTACATTTTGCAAAGTGTTTTACAAGCAAAAACACACTTACTGCCCAGATAAACAATTTTCTTGGCTGGCCTAAGACTTTTGCACAGTACTGCGCATGCATTATTAAACCGATTCAGGAAATGTTCCGGATAAGTGATGTGTCATTTAATTTGAGGACCACATCTGTCCAAAACAGCATGGCTAAAATTGGTCTGTATCTCTCCTGCCAAGGACGTTTTCATCATAATTCCAAGTGATGTATATTCTCTGGGCTATGTCTTTTCGTCTCCAAAGCTTTTTTTTCCAAGCAGTGGCATGGAAACGGTGGCAGCCTCAGGTGGGGGCTGTCAGAGTGGAGCGAAAGTCTTCACAGCGGAGGACGTTAACTACAACCTGTCACTCTCTTAGAGCACTTGATTACAGTGCACGCACACTAACCACACTGCACAAAGGTCTTCTCAATCTGGCCCTGAGAGGCTAAACAGCTCTGTCTCTCTCTGCCTGTCTGTCTATCTTCCTGTCTATCTCCCCACCTCTCTCTCTCTCTCTCTGTCCACATTTCCTCTCTCTCCATCCACTTCTCTCTCTCTCTCATCTATCAGTTAGGCTTCACCTGCGGCTGCCCCACTCAGCTTGCTGGTTTTCTGACAGTGTTGAATAGCAAATAATTGCCTTTAAACGACAGCAGTCGAGCATGTGAACGTGTTGCTCTAATGCCTCCAAGCCATGCTCTAAAAAGACCATACAACAAGGCAAATATCGAGTAGGCATGGACAGCAAAGCAATTTTTAGGCCACACTCCTTTAGAGACAGATGTTTAAAGGTTGTGGGAACAAACATGTTAGATAACATTGCTTCAAAACACCTTAAGTACTGCCCTCTTTAGCTGTTTTTTATTTGCACTTTATCGATAGAGGTTGTACCCTTGTGATTGAAAATAGGCCAGACTTTAATGGATATTGAATCTCGAGTAGCACAGCTATAGATCACAATATAATACCACTTCTCATGCAGGGCACGGTATTTTTTTCATGGGTTCTGATGTTTTGTTTGGACTGATACTTTGATTTGATACATGGATTGACAGAATAAAGAACTCAAGGAGACTGATCCAATCACAGGTTGCATTTACACAATGGCGCATACAGGTCTTGCAGTCTCTCCTGAGATCTTTTCTAAAACAAAGAATACAATCCTAGAAGGCCATGGCACTTTGAAGTTCAATTCATTAGCTGGTGAGTGTTAGAACAGTGAAAACACTAAACTAAGGAGTACTGTGATCCAGCAGGATTGGATTATGACACTGCGCGCTCAAAAAAATAATCTCAAAATCTTGTGTGAGCTGAATCTTGCATGTCAGAGCAGGGCAAAACTGTGCACAAAGATGCAAACACCACAGTTTATCAACACTGTTGCCAGAATACAGAAACATTATAGCTATACTCTTAATGGCCACCTCTACCTTGTGCTCTTATATTTTCACCTTGATGATGTACAGTTTGAGATTACAGCCCATTTTTTGTTGTGCACAATGTGTGTTAGCCATTCTCTAGGCCTTTAAACAGTGGTCAGGATATTTTTGGGTGTTTGAGATTTTTCTGAAAAATATTGTGACTGGTTTATTTTCTATATCAGCTTTGTTTTTTTTTGACCAAGATGATCAACATATGCACTTTTTAGGCTTTTTCTGCCTTTTTTTCTGGCTAGTGTGCCAGACTGCCAGGTACTTGTGGTTGTACATGGGTGATTAGTTGTTTCTGATTGGGCTAACTTGTCTACAAGCTGTTCACAAATTCATGTTATTAGGTTAATTTTACTAACTTAAAACTTGTTGATAATATAGGGTAACTTCACACTTTCAAATTGTGATTTTGATACGAAAACTATTATTCTTTCAGTCTTTCAGTGTTAAACCTCTCTCTACCTAGCAGCGAATCTGACAAATCAACACCTCTGTGCCTGGTACACGAGGGAAACTGTAGTCTGTAATTATAGACTTAAATGATGGAACGGTATAGTAAAAGTAGGTTTTTCCAATAAAGTGGATGGTAAGTGTATGTGCAAATAATTGTTATGTATTATAGTATATTGCTACTGTTGGAACAAAACCTGTATCTCCAAAATGAAACTTTACAGAAGAAGGACAAAACATACTTTACTTTTAATGTAAGTCAATGGAACCAGATTTTTTAAAGTAATTTGGGCCGTTTCATCAGAAAATTGACATGCAATGTAAAGGGCAACATGTATTTTGAAAGTATGTGAAAAACTGAAAAACTACAAAAATGAAGATACAAGGTTTTGTTTCAACAGCAGCGATATGCTTCATGGGAAATACATGATTACACATCAGCTATTAAAGGCAAATTACCTGTCTCTGGGCAGGCTGATCTTTGGCTGTTTGGGACAGCGCTTGCTGAGTGTAAAGAGTTTACGCACAATCTTATGGGCTTTTCCAAGGATCACTTTTGTGGTGGCCTCCAGCAAGCCATGCCGCCTCTGCAAGGCCAGGTCAGAGTTCCAGAACCTCAGGATGGTTGTCGTGTTCAAAAAGCGATCAGTGGGCAGATTGTTGAGAAAAGCCTTGAACTCATCTGAAACAGAAAAAGGGAAGGATTTACATCACATTAGGACTGCAAACACTTATCCACAGTGAGGCAAAAAGTGAGTCTTGACACAAGCTCTGATGCACTGCTCTCTAGTGAAACGAACCAGCAGGAGGTAGCTGATGATACAAGTGAATCATAAGAGGTTTGAGACTGAGTCATCGGCCAAGCAAATGTGGGTGGTGGAGACGCGCCGTCAGCGACTATTCAGATAACAACCTGATATAACAGATCACAGGGAAATACTGCCGGTGCTTCAAAAGTGTAGCAACTGAGAAAGAATCTTCTAGAAAAAGTCAGCAATCGGAGCATGATGCCCTGGTTTATGTCTTTGTGTCGTGGCTTTTTACTCGAAACACGGACAATACACACTGTCAAAGTCCGCTTTCTTTGGTGGAAGTGCAGTAACCGTAGCTAAGGGACACAGGCACCAGTGCTATTTGTAAAAACCTTCACTGTCTCTGCCTGAAAATGTTGAACAAGCAAAATGTCAACACTTCAGAGACATTATCAAATTCCAATTATCCTAATGACTATTTTAACACCCACGGCTGGTTAAGCTGACACTAGCACTCTTTCAAAAACTATTAAAATAAAGGTGTTTCCGCAGATGTGGCTTGTGAGAGAGGGGCCGGCTCCTGGGAATTCGTTTAGTTAGTGGACATGAGGCAGCGGTTCCGCTGAAGCACCCTGCTGTCCCATGCTATTACAATGTGCAACAATCCTGTGCAAGGTGGCAAAGCTCACAGACTCCCAGAGATAACACTGAATCGGAGGGGTACTATTAGCGTTGACTCAGAGAATAGTTCAAGCTCAACCAGTGCTCCACTCCTCCATTCCTCACATGTTCTCTTTCTCACTCTCTCTCTGTCTCTCTCTCTCTCTCTCTTCTTTCCAATAATTAACCTTTCTACTTTGCTCTTACTTGCTTTATTGTGGCAGTAGAATCATTATACATGCACTGTCATTTTTCACACACATACAGTAACACCAAGTTTGGACACACTTGGTGTGTGGTGCTGATTGAATGTATGTTTTCCTCTACCACTGAAATTACTGGGATACTTACCACAATTCTTGATCTCCCACCCACTAATCCAATCAACACTCCAATTTTCTTTTCACTTTCTTTCTTCAGCAAACAAGAAGTCCCACTGCAACTTCAACAGTAAGACACTGATTGTTGTCGATGGTGCTTGATTGTTTACTGTTGCACAGTGCTTTTGTTCTTATTCCCATATTCTTTATATTGGTTGCCTGCCAAAAGAAGCCTGAAGCACATTTTAAACCAGGAGCGAGACTGCACGAAGGCAAGCCAGCTCTGCAATGTGTGTTAATTGAGACAGAACACGTCTCGCAAGTTTAGGGTATGTGTCCACATTTATGTGTTTTTGTGTCTTGGATAAGTCAGTAAAAGTGCAAATGGCTTTATTGACAGTCAAATTTGTATGAGTATGTGATACCACTTGTAAATGATCAAATAAAGTTTATCTTTAGCAGTTTAGCATGAATGTTGTATTTTGTAGGGTTTCTAGCTAGAAACCACTAGCATGCCACTTGTAGCAAGCACCTTTAAGTAGAACTAAAGCATAATATTAAGCTTTGACTGTGCCGACTGCTGTGCATGCTTGCATGGCAGCTATAAACGGCTGCATTGATTAACACTGAAAAGTACTGCAAGCAGGGTGGTGCAAAGAAGTGGAACAGTTACCACTTCTTGTCTAAAATGAGCTTTTTATCCCCTTTAATGAATGTTTCTCTACCCCCTGGAAGGGCCCATTAACCAATGCTGAAAGAGCAGAACCAAGAACCAATGCTACAACTAATAACGATAGGCCAACTGAGCAATTTTTTTTCTTAAATTTGTCCTCGAGAAAGATCCTAAGAAAAAGTCTACATCAGATTAATGATGTGTTTGGTTACTGCATATATGCATTGTCACTTCATAGCTTTGCCTTCACTAATACTCTAAAATGGGGAAAACACAACAAAGTCCTTCTATGAGTCAGTGTACTTTTTCTTCTATGACTCTGTATGTATGTGTAGGATGGCATTCGTGATCATCAAGAAGGACACACTGTCATTAATGGAAAGCATTGCTTTCATGTAGCAACAAAAGCTATTTGACTGCTAATAGTGCCCCTTATGGAAAATGTTCAGCCTGCTAAACGTGAGGGAGTGAGGGAGAAAGTGAGGCATTGAGGGAATGAGTGAGTAAGGAAGAGAGGGAGGGAAGGAGAGAGGGATTGAGAAAAGGAAGGAGGGAGGTGCTGTACATCAAAAAAGTGATATCAACCTGCTCTTCACTAACCCACTGCTTTCTGTCCATGGTTAGATAATAATGGAAGAATTAATATTGTTTTGCAACCACAAATCTAAAGGGCCAGATCAAGGCACTGTATGGAAATGGTAGCCTAATAGAGCAGCACTGACAAAAGCATTTTCTGTCACCTGTCTCAGAGAGCACTGACCCAGCTGTCTGTCACTGAAGCTCAGCCACAGAAGCACACCTGCTATTACTAGGTTTGATCAATTTCTCTTTTTCTCTTGAGTTTCAGTGGCTACTGTTTCTTTTTTCCTTCTGCTGCCCCGGTTTCTAGATCTCTGCTGTCTCTGTTCTCTTCCTCTCACTGACTTGTCCTCCCTTTCTCACCCCCTTCTCCTCTCCCTTTATCTCCTCCTTTCCCTGTTGGCAAAGGAACCTCATTAGTATTCGCAGTGCATGGAGGGAATTTGGACTGTCTATTCTCCTCTTTTTCTGCCATTTATGACTTCATGTTCAAATTTATGGACGATTGAGCCCTTTGGAAATGTGTCAGATGGAAGGATGGAGGTTATTTGCCATCATAGACGCTGCACATTCTCGTCCATTGAGGTGATTAGTATTTCAAATTGCCGTAAGCGGGGGGAGACAGGAAAGCGGCAGCGGTCTAAGCATGTTCAATTAGCTGCGCGGCATGGGCCTCGCATTGCCAGGCTCTAAATGAACGACTGAAGGACATCTGTACACAGTCTCCGGAGTTTCAGCGCTAACACCCTCAACACAAAAATCTTCTCTTCCTCCCTCAAGACTCACATGAGGCTGTTCCTTACACAACCTCAGCACACACCTGCATCCTGATATCTTAGGCTGGCATTTAAACTAGCCCTGGAGAAGAACATTCTGGACCTCTCGGCCATCGTCTTGAAGGGTCGGTACAGAATTATGGTTCTTTAATGAGGAGGGCATTGGCCAGCACACGGCAGCTTAACATGGCAATTAACCCTAGCCTCCTGCAGACTTGTGCAGGGGTACAAAAAAATAGGCAGAGAGGCATTTAACATTTATACAAAAATAAATCCTTTCAAGCTTAGGTGGAATTTCTCAAGTAATGTGTTCCTGATGCATTGTACTAGAAAATATAAAAAACAGCATTTCGAAAGCAAAGACGCAAGACACCCTGAACAAAGTATACAAAGAAACTTTAACTTAGTTTTAGAAAACAGCTCCTCAACTACCATACCACTTGACCAGAAACAGAATATCTTGGATGTTCCAAAAGCCAAAACATGATCATTATGAGAGAAAATGCTGAGTCATACACGATATAGGTAATTTTGGATCTTTTTAAATATCTACCTTGTACTTGCACTCACTTAAAACACCTCTGTAAAAGGGTATAGTTATAGACTGTAGCCCATGCATTTGCGAAACTAACGATACTCCACCCTATTTATCACTGGCCAGTTTATGATCACAGGGCCACTGTTGACTAGATATTACTTGGGTGGTTGATCATTCTCAACAAGACACTGAGTCATGAAAGTCAGAAACTGACCAGTGATGAAGGTCTAGAGGATGTCTAACAAACTGCTAGTGGCAATAGATGGGCTACAGTCTCTGACTGTACACCAGCAAGATGATGCGACAAGGTAGGAGTTTATTATGAAGTGGCAGGTCAGTGTGTTTATTTACTGAAGCGTAAACCTTTCTCCTCAGTGATCAGACTGATTTTCTGCCTAAACCAGGCTTGGGTGCCAAAAAAAGGCTTGATTTATTTGGATAATTATCTTGAGGACATCACTGAGATGTATGCCAAACTATTCAAAAGCAGAAGCACGGAACGACTTAAACGTCTCATATCAAGCTGCAAGCAGAAAAAACGTATTAGACGTTCCACTTTAAATTACCTATTATAATGCGGCCTTATGCTTTTTCATCTGATGCAAATAGGATTCTCAAACTCATTACACCTGTAATGAACTGCTTTGCATCTAAATAGAGGTAAAACGTAATTATCCTCTCCAACTGCAACTCCGTTCGATTTAACATGAAAAAGTAGAAGTAGAGGAAGGTCTGTGAGGCTGAAGGTCTCCAGCCTGTCATCACCAAAGCAAGCTCTGCCAAATAATTTAATAAAAATGAAAAATCGCACAGTGCATCCAGATGTTAATCATAGTAGAAAGCACAAGCCAGATCAAGAAAATGAAAATAGAAGCTGTTGGCCTTCATCATGGTTACTTTTTTTTTCCTTTCTTTTTTCAACAGAAAGCAGGGCACCTGTATAATTTATGTAAATAAGCTCATTTTTCTCTTCATTGGAAGACTGGATGTAGTATGTCCTATGGACACCCTGCAGGATGCTGGCCTCTATATGTCTTTTATGCCTCTACACGCAGTCTGAGTTTGGTGCTGCGAGAGTTGTTGGGCTCCCTGCGGAGAGGGCATTAATCACAGATTGGTTGGAGGAAGGGAAGCTGTGAGGTGCAGAATTATGACCTGTCTGGAGAAGCTGACTGCTGACGGAGCTGCGATTAAGCCGTTTCCTGCTGCTGCACCAGGACAAGTTGAAGGATCTTCTCTCTGTTAATCAGACGAGTGGATCAGTGGACAGGTCGAAGCGATCTAGGCCAAGCATTTCCTGAACACTAATGTAGATTTGACATTTTCCCATAAAGATAATTTTGAGTCATGTGGGTTATGAGAGATATGCGGCCTGGAGTTTCAC